AAAAATGCTTGAAAAGATTTTTACCTTTGAACCTGCCTGGTTTGATGTGGAAAAGAACTTTAGTGGTGAGCTATGTTCAAGGCTTAATAGTGAAGCGTCCATTGTGAAGTCCTTAGTAGCGGACAGAGCTTCCTTTCTTGTCCATACCATTTCTGGTGTCACAATTGCAATTATCATAGGCCTACTAGTTTCCTGGAAATTCGCATTGGTCATGATCGATGTCCAACCTCTCTCTATCCTTTGCTTCTACACTAAAATGGTTTTGCTCTCCAGCATTTCCCACAATTACGCCTATGCTTAAAATCGTAGCTCACAGATTGTATCAGAAGCTATTTACAAACACAAAATTGTTACATCTTAAGGGTCTACAAAGAAGATAATAGAAATATTTGACAAGGCTCAATATGAAGCAAAAAGAAAGGGGAGGAAGACAGCTTCGCTCGCTGGCTTAGGGATGGGGTTGGCTCAATGCCTAACTTTTTTTTTTTTTTTTTGAATAACCAAAGAGGTTCTGGGCCGAAGCCCATACATTCCCTTAGGTCCGAAACTAAAGCATGTTATATGGTTTTGTCCCAAGCGCTACTCGAACCGGCGACCTCTAAGCTTTTTGCCATGGGCATTAGACTTTTCGTATGGAGGAGTGTTGGTGCAAAAGGGGGGAATCTCGGTTGGGGATGTATTCAAGCATGACATCTGACCTTGCCAAGGGCTCGACCGCCATTTCTTCTGTTTTCAAGATCCTTGACCGTCCTTCATCTCAAGTAAATTACAATCATCCATTAACATTTTGTCAGCTTCTATATATTATAACATATTTTCTTGAAACAATTTGTTGTGTTTGATTACATAATTAATGCTATATGAAGGAAAATACAAATCATGGAGCAAAGATTGAGACAATACTAGGTGGAGTAGAACTGAAGAATATTGATTTCGCGTACCCTAACCGGCCTAGTATTCTTGTGCTTCCAATTTTCCTTGGACATCAAGCATGGGACAAGCATTGGATTAGTTGATACATCAGGATGCGGTAAATCAACGGTGACAGCTTTGATCCAACGCTTCTATGACGTTGAAAAAGGATGTATGAAAATAGATGGCATAGATTTGAGAGATATAAATATTAAAAGCTATAGAAATCATACAGCTCTAGGGAGCCAAGAGCCAGTTGTTGATTCTGGAAGTATCCGAGAGAATATTATGCTTGGACGGCCCGAAGCGACAGAGGATGAGGTGGTAGGGGCTGCTAAAGCTGCCAACGCTCATGATTTCATCTCGTAAGTATGATTTTTTTGTACAAGTATATATATATACAAGAAAACAGGTGATTTCCTACGGAAAATATTGTAGGAAAAATGTAGGAAACAGATGTTTCGTAGGTTTACCGTAAAAAAAATATCCTACCAAATTTTTCGTAAGAAATTTTGTAGGATTTCATCATGTTTTTTGGTAGTGAATTTAGGTTTTTAAAATTAGAGTTTAAAATTTATGATCATAATATTTTTGAAAAACTTAACAAAACCATTCTCTCGTATACTTTTAGATATATTTTCTTCCATTCTTTGTTTCAATTCTCATTATGCTTTATTTTTTCGTTTTTATAAAGGGCACTGGAAAATGGATATGAAACCGAATGTGGAGAAAGATCGAGGAGTGCAACATTCAGGTGGTCAAAAACAGAGAGTGGCTATCGCTAGAGTTTTTCTAAAGAGACCTATAATACTTCTACTTGATGAGGTTACAAGTTCCTTCGACTATACCTCAGAGAAAGAGGTTCAAGACGCACTAGCTCGGATCATGGCTAGCCAAAAGATGACTACTGTAGTAGTGGCTCACCGCCTCAACACACTAAAAAAATTGGATTTTATTGTGGTGATTGCAGATGGAACCGTAATTGAGACAGGAAGTTACGACCGCTTGAAAGACATTGGAGGCCAGTTCTCTAGACTTCTTTTTTTTTTTGTCAACAGTTCTCTAGACTTGTTCATGCTCATATTCTTAGATCTTGAAACCTTAATTATCAATAATGGAATTGAGTCATATTGTGGTTTTATATATGAAAATTAGATACCTTTAAATGTGTCATAGTATCCAAAAACTTATATATATATATATATATATATATAGTTTTATATATAGGTAATTTTCTAAAATATCAAGGTTTTTGTTTTTAGGACACCACAAAAGTAAAACTAAATTTTATTTAATAATTCCAAACTCTAAATCTTAATCACTAAACCCTATCCCCTAAATATTATACCCTAAATGTAAAATAATCATCCCAAACCAAGGATTGACAAATAATTATGTTTTTGTAGTATTTTTGGAAAGAAAACAAAAACCATGGTATTTGGAGGAATTTATCGTAATTTTAAAATTTAGTAACATATCAGATATTTTTGGAAAAATATATTTTTGAGGGCATTTTAAAAGTACAAAATGGTTTGGTTATTTCCAAAATAATCACAAAGTATTTACAAAGCCTTCTCACATTCCATATTATAGGATTTTAAATAAAAACTTAGTCAGGGTATATTCAACAGATGTTGATAGTATAAATCTATACTATATAAAAGTTGAGGCTATAAGCTCCTTAAGCCGTCCACATAGGATTTTAAACGATCAATAATAATTAGACATCTCATTACTTAACAATTTTGAAATTATATTTCTTTTCTATTTTAAGATTGTTTTGTAAAAAAGAAAAAAAATACGATAAATGGAAATAAAGGATGCATGTAAATATTTTAAATATTTATTTTTGAGAAAATTTCTAATTGTAAAAAGTAAAACTTCTGAAGATTAGCCTAACAATTTAACTATAAATATAGGTCTACACCACCACATTAGAATACAGTATATATGAATTGATATGCTTAAATTTGTAGCTCTAATTATTTATTTTCATTGTAATTCATATTGTTTATAATATTATATTTTTGTATTTGTTGTATTTTTTTAATTATGCTGTTATTGTACAGTTTTGATTGTTTTTTTAATTACGTTGTTACAATATTATACTGTTTTGATTATTTAGTCCAGTTGTAACCTTTTAATTATTTTTTTGTAATAGGAATACTTTATATATTGGTGTCCTTGCTTCTCAAAGGGAAGGAATTGGATATGAGGTTAGGCAAATGTATGCTAAGGTAAAAACCACAATCTGATTTTTTAAACAATATTTTTTATTATTATTTATGTTTTATTATTAATTAATATATTTGTTTCTTTCATTGTATAATTAGATTTCACTAAACGCTTAGATAAAGTTAAAAAATATAAAGAGAAGGATTTTTCTCTCTAGGAGAAAACGTCGGTTCACCGGGAATATCTTTGTATTTCGCCGGATTTGAGAAGATTTTCTTGTTTTTTCATATTTTTGAAAAGATTTTTGAAGATTCGTTTGAAGTTTTAACCTAGTTCATCAACATAGTTCATCGCCGTCGTTCAAGTTTCTTCACTTTGAACGTTTGGAGTGACTACTGGTGTTTGTTCTTACTGTGGTTAAGTATGGAATACGCACTTGACAAAGCTTTACAAGAAATGACGTTAGAGGAAGAGAGACCAATCATCCTGAAAAATCTTCCTCAATTCAGTTCTTGTGAAAGGAACGTTTGCAGCATTATTGGGCGTCTCTTATGCCCAGAAAATCAGAAAATGTCGAAGGTTATCCATGATATGCCAAGGCTGTGGCGTGTGTACAACAGGGTCCGAGGCATAGCTTTGCCTAATGATCGTTTTCAATTCATCTTTGATTCGGAAACTGATCTGTCTATGGTTTTGAATTCTGGTGCTTGGACGTATAATGACTGGAGCATGACTTTGGAGAGATGGGTTGAGAATCCGCCTTCAGACTACTTAAAGGTATTGCCGATTTGGTTACGCCTTCGTAACATTCCGGTGAATCATAACACAGCGGCGACTGTGAGAGAAATTGCTGAATACATTGGTCAGGTTACCGATGTGGCCTTTGATCCGTTGAAACCTCAGAGTAAGGGATATGTTCGTGTGAGAGTTTTGTTCGATGTCAATAGGCCATTGCGAAACACCTGGGCACTACAGATTCCATCAGGAGAGACTGTTACTATTGGGATTGAATACGAACGTATTCGCAGAAGATGTTATCAATGTCAGAGGTTAACTCATGACAAGGATCGTTGTCCATTTAACCCCTCAAACCGACAAGCAATTGCTACGGGAGGTGTTAAACCGGCAGCGATAAGTCCATCAAGACTGATTCCAAAAATCAGTAAAGACGATCCCCTCTTTGGTGTACTAACAGATGATGACGTGGGGATTGATGTTGTTTCTGGAAAACCAAAGATTGCTAAAGAGGTTTTAGATGAGATGAGACAATACTTATCTGTTTCTGATCCTCAAATGAAGAAAGTTAACATAGAAAGAGTTCGCAAGTCTGTATGGGACTTAGAAGGAGATTCAGAAGGTCAGAAAACATTGCTGAGGTTAGAGGCTCCAACAAAATTTACCACTGATGTTGACAAAGACAAAGGACTAGTTTTCGACTTTTCTGGTGTCAATGAAGCAACTAGTAATAACGAAGGTCCGGTTACGTCTACGGTACGTAAAGGAACAGCCATGACTCGTTTATCAGAACCTGTTCAATCGTCTTCTGCAACTTATGTCTCTGCTGCTCAATCTGAGTTTGGTTCTACGGATATTAGAGCTAGTTTTTCAGCTGGTTCTACCGGAACCAAAGTCAAAAATGGAAAGCGTAGAAGACGACCGCATCAATGGGTGAGAAAAGCACAAGCAGTGAAGAAGGTTTTAGAACCTATTCAAACCGATCAAGACCTGGATGCTGGGGAGGGTTTCAAGTCAAAAAGGAAAGCTGTTGATGAAGCTATTGTATCATCAAAAATTGCCAAGCGTGATGAATTTAAGGTGGTTCCGAATGAGGAACCGCCGAGCCAAGTATGAGTTTTATGAGCTGGAATTGTCAAGGATTGGGGGGCACTTTGACAATTCCTACCTTGAGGGAGATGCGTCGTGAACATTTCCCGGATTTTCTGTTCCTCATGGAGACTAAAAACTCCAGTTCTCACGTTTTGAATTTACAAAGGTCTTTAGGATATGACTATGCTCATATTGTTGATCCAATTGGTTTGAGTGGTGGTTTGGCTCTCTTTTGGAAAGCAGCTTATGAGGTAGAGGTTTTAAGTGCGGATCATCGTATCATTGATATCAAAGTGAAATTGGGATCTCTCTCTTTTTTCATCTCTTGTGTATATGGTGACCCCATTTTTAATCGAAGACAAGTAGTATGGGATAGATTAATTGACATTGGTGTCTCCAGAGATGCTCCATGGATGGTTTTGGGTGATCTTAATGAGATCACGGATAATTCAGAAAAGCTAGGTGGACCAGCACGGGCAGAATCTACTTTCTTTCCTTTCCGGTATATGATAAGTGATTGTCGCCTACGGGAGGTTCCTAGTCTTGGTAACAAATATTCATGGGCTGGAGAGCGCAACAAGATGTGGGTTCAATGCTGTTTAGATAGAGTGTTGGGTAATACAGCTTGGTTTCATCTTTTCCCAAGAGTGCAAGCTGAATTCCTGGAGCGAATAGGTTCAGATCACAGACCGGTTTTCACTAGATTCACCAATGAAAACATGTCTTGGAGAGGACGGTTCATGTTTGACAAACGTTGGTCTTCTAAACCGGCCTTTAAAGATGTTGTGAAGGCTGGCTGGTCTCAGGGCGAAGCAGCAGGCCAAGTTTCATTGATGAATAGGCTTGCGAATTGCAGAAGGCATATATCTCTTTGGAAGAGACGGACTAATCAAAATTCCAAAGCTCGCATTACTGTTTTACGACAGAAGCTGGATGATGAGGGTACTAAGTTACAACCGGATTTTACCTTCATGAAGTCTTGCCGATGGGAGTTGGAAGAAGCCTACAGAGAAGAAGAATTATTTTGGAAACAAAAAAGCAAGGAAAGATGGTTACAGGAAGGAGATCGCAACACTAAGTTCTTCCATGGCAGTGTTCAAAGAAGGAGAGCTCAAAATCGTATTTTTTCTCTCTTAGATAACCATGGCATAGAACAATTTTCTGAAGGTTCTAAAGGAGAGATTGCAGTGGAATATTTCAGAAAAATGTTTACAAGTACTAAGCCCTCTACTATTTCTGAAGCGTTAGAGGGGATGACGGTGCGAGTTACAGATTCTATGAACACGGTTTTGACTCGGCCTGTCTCTGGTGATGAAGTAAAGAAAGCGGTATTTAGTATCAAAGGAGAGAGTACTCCTGGGGCAGATGGTATGTCAAGTTTTTTCTATCAAACTTATTGGGACACTGTTGGACCTCAAGTCATTGCTGAAGTTCAAGAGTTTTTTCGATCTGGTGTTCTTCCTGCTGAATGGAATTTCACTCAGATTTGTCTCCTTCCCAAAAAGCTTAATCCGTCTTCAATGTCTGATCTTCGCCCCATCAGCCTCTGTTCTGTACTCTATAAGATAGTCTCAAAGATTTTATGTAGTCGTTTAAAGCGGTTTTTACCAGACATTGTTTCTGAAACACAAGGAGCTTTTGTATCCGGAAGACTTATATCAGACAACATTCTTATTGCTCATGAAATGATTCATGCTTTACAGTCCAGCAGTACTTGTCAAGAAGAATTCATTGCCATTAAAACAGGAGTGGGATTTCTTAGAAGAACTAATGATTCGGCTTGGTTTTGATATTAAATGGGTTCAGTGGATTATGAGCTGTGTAAGATCAGTTTCCTTCTCGGTGCTTATTAATGGTTCATCTCATGGTTTCATCAAACCAGAACGGGGTATTCGTCAAGGTGATCCGTTATCTCCCTTTCTCTTTATTTTATGTGCTGAGGCTCTTGTGCATATAATGAATAAAGCAGAGATGGAAGGGAGAATTTCTGGCCTGCACATTACTCCATCTGCTCCGTCAATACAACACCTTTTGTTTGCGGACGATAGCTTGTTTATTTGTCGAGCTACTTTTCAAGAATGTTCAGAGTTCCTGAAGTGTTTACAACTCTATGGATTAGCTTCAGGGCAAGAGATAAATTTTCAGAAATCTTCTATTACTTTTGGTAAGAAGCTTGATCCGATAATGAGGCATTTACTTGGTTCTTACACTGGAATTACTCAAGTAGGAGGTGCTGGGAAGTATTTGGGACTACCAGAATGTTTCAGCGGGTCAAAGAGAGAGTTACTGAAGTACATTACTGATCGCCTGAACTCTCGTCTTAGTGGCTGGTTTGAGAAAACTTTATCCTTAGGTGGTAAAGAGGTGCTTTTAAAATCGGTTGCAATGGCACTTCCAGTTTATGCTATGTCATGTTTCAAGTTGACAAAGCATCAATGTCAGAAGATTACTAGTGCCATGGCCATGTTTTGGTGGAATGCCTGTGAGGACAAGAACAAGATGCATTGGGTATCATGGGAAAAAATGTGTCAATCTAAACAGAGAGGAGGTTTAGGCTTTCGCGATATTGGCAGATTTAATCAAGCTCTTTTGGCGAAACAAGCTTGGCGGTTCTTAGATGATCCTAACTCATTACTGGCCCGAGTCTATAAAGCAAAATACTTTTCATCCTCTTCCTTTTTAGAGGCTAAAAGTGGGTATCGTCCTTCTTACGCTTGGAGAAGTATCTTATTCGGTAAGGAGCTTCTTGAAAGAGGTCTAATGAAGTCGATTTGAGATGGTTTGAATACCCGTGTGTGGATAGATAAGTGGGTTCTGGATAAGGAGCCACGGCGACCGCTAAATAAAGAGCTTTTCCTTAATGTTTCTCTTAAAGTGGAGTCGCTTATAAATGAGCATGGTGAGTGGAATGTGCCTCGTCTAGAGGAGCTATTTTTCCCATGTGATGTGGTTAGAATTAGATCATTTCCGCCTCAACCTCGGTTACCTGACAAGGTGATTTGGGCTTACACTAGAGATGGCCGGTATACAGTGAAAAGTGGACACTGGTTTTTGAATCATGAAGCAGAGAAGTGTAACATGCCTCCAGCCAATGTTCTGTTGTTGAATAAGACCAAAGAAAGGGTGTGGACAATCTTAACTGAGCCCAAAATACGTTTGTTTCTCTGGCGTGCTCTTTCTGGTGCTATTGCTGTTGCAGATTGTATGAGAAGTCATGGTTTGCAGGTTAGTCTGCTGTGTCCGATTTGCCATTGTGAGGAGGAAACAGTTTCACATGTTCTATTTGCGTGTACTTTGGCGAATCGTGTTTGGCAAGCCTCTCTTCTTCCACTTCCAAGGACTGGATTCTCTTCTTCGGTGATGGAGAACCTTGATCATATGTTTGATTTGTTAGGTAACATTTCAATTCCAGAACAGAGACGCAAGGCTATACCATGGCTACTGTGGGGAATTTGGAAAAGCCGGAACTCTACTATCTTCTCTGCTAGAAACAATGATCATAACATACTTATTGCCTCAGCTTTGGAAGATTCTGAGGTTTGGTTTCATCAACAGAGTGTAATGAAACAAGACATTCAAGGCGTTGAGTGTAAGAGCAATCGTTTGGATACACGGTGGTTCAAACCTGCTCTTGGTCGACTCAAATGTAATCTCAATGCTTCGTGGGCGACGGATTCTTTCTTTTGTGGAGGTGCTTGGATCATAAGGAATCATGAAGGAAATGCTTTATTTCACGCAAGGGATGCTTTCGTTCCGCATATCAATAGAATCTCGGCTGAGCTTTCCTGCATTTTGTGGTGCCTTCGGAGTTTAAAAGATCTTCATATAATGTCTTGTGAAGTTTGGACAGATTGCAACGCGGTTTTAGCGGCTTTGGAATCACCATTGGAATGGCGGAAGTATAGAGCTCAGCTTGACAAGATTATACAAGTAAAATGTGGTATGGGGGAGATTTCATTTCACCTGTCATCTACAAAAGCTAATTCTTTGGTTAGAGAGATCGCGAGCAGTGTAACCAGGGATGGACGCTTAACTTCATACTTAGCTTTAGGCGGGCCGGCGTGGTTGCAGGAACGACTCATCTTGGATAGCCATTGAAGCTGGAAGGGCCACCTTGGTTTAATCGGTTAACTTGGTTGATTTGTTTTATGTTGGTTTATTTTTTCTAAAATTTTCTTTTCCTCTGTATTTCAAACTTTGTTGGTCAATTTCATTCAATGGGAAAAAAAAAAAAACAAATTAGATTTCACTATTTCTTGTAGAAGCATGTTTGTTTTGATTCTTTTACAAGCTCCTAAAGCTATCCACGTGTTATTTAAAACGCCTAATAAGGATTTTCTATCTCAATATTTAACTATTTTTCTTAAATTACAATAGTTTTCTATATTACCATCTATACTATTAATTGGGAAGGAAAACTTGAAGCCAAACACCCCCCAATTTAAAAAAAAAAATTCATGAAATATATTTCAGTTGCCAAACAGAATAAAAGACAGCATTTTTTTTAAAAAAATAATAATAAAAAACAGAAACTATCTATATTTATGGATCATACTAATTTTGTTGCCAAAAAAGTGGACAATTAAATTCGAAAATATCTATATATAACATATTGAAATTTTTGGGATATTTTTTAAACAATAATTTAATATTTAATCAAATCTAATTTATAGTATTTGTATTTGGTTTAATGACTTTATTCAAGTGTTTATGTTATTTGTATTTTGTATAACTCTTATGATATGATATATATTTATTTTGCGTTACAAAATCATCATATATTTTTTGTTTTAAATTGATATTTTAGGAAAAATAAAAAGAAAAATAAATATGTTATATATTTTACAATAGCATAAAATTGGAGAAATATTAAACAAAATTGATATTATCTTAAAGTCTTAAATAAATAATTAAAATATTTTAGTAAACAAATCTTTAAAAAATCAATAATAATTTTGTTTTTTCAAAAATCAATCTAATAAATATTTTGCATCACATACAATCTCTTATTTTCACATTAAAAATCTTCACACTGAAAATGTTTTTCGAAAATATAGCAAAAAAGATATTTATATATTTCCTTGAAATAAAATAAAAAACCAAAATAACATGTGACCAAAAATAAAATCGTCAAATAAACATTCCTTATTATTAACATCAATTTAATAATATATTAACTAATATAGAATTAGCATTTAATAGGTTTAAGAAAGTTCAGGAAATCATATCACATGATTATTATATTTTCCATATAATATAACATTGCCAGTCCACAAAAAGAATTAAACAGTTAATGTATGTTACAAATAAATAAATAAAATCAAATAATTATGATTAAAAATTGAATAAAATAGTTATTTCAATTTCCAAAAAAGAAACGGGTAATACAAAAAAAAATTATATAACTATTTCTCATCAAAAACAAGACGATATAAAAAAATTTGGAAACTTCAATTCAATTTCAACTTTCAAATATCAAATGACATGTATGATACATGAGTATGAAATAAAATAGCAAAAGTAAGTTTCAAATTACTTAATAATTTCAAATATCAGGACAAGAAATAATGGATACAAAAAGAACGGGTAATTTAATTAGTTAATTACAAGCTATATAATATTGTTTTAAAAAAAATGTGATTTCATTTATATAAAAAATATACAATCATATCTTAGAGGGAAAATACGGATACAAAAAGGGAACGGGTAATTCTAAAAATAAATTATCTAAACTATTTTTCATAAAAAAAGGACGATATAAAAAATTTGGAAACTTAAATTCAAATTTAAAATATCAAGTGACGGGTATGATACAAAAATATGAAATTTAAATAGCAAAAAGTAAGTTTTAAATTACTTAAATATTTCAAATATCGGGACAAGAAATAACGGATACGGAAAGAGAACGAGTAATTTAATTAGTTAACGGGTTTGACTGATGGTGTAGTAATAGCAGTTCATTTTGGTGTAGGGCATGCATAGTGAACGGGTTTGACTCTCCTAATATATATATATATATGTATATTTATGTTATTTTATTCTAAAGTTTTAATGTTTTTCATTAGTTTATGTGATGTGATAGTTAATAAATTTAATTAATTTCTAACTTATCACTCATTCGGTTTACACTCGATCCGGGTCTCTTATCATGTCGATCCAAATATTTTGAAACTTTATGATAAACTTAACTTTTGCAACCAACCCCGCACGTACGTGCGGGTCCATCCCTAGTTTATTTTAATCAAAAGAAATACCATATATGGGAATAAGAAAAATCTGAAAATATGAAATATTCCAAGAATTGTTTTTTCGTTTTTTAAAATAAATAAATGGAATAAAACTAATCAGTTTTTTTAAATTTTAAATATCTTTTTATAATTAAGTTTATAAACGAAAATAATTTTTTTCTATAATTAAGATACTTTCAAAAAGGAAAATATCAAAATATATCAGAGAAATGAGAACTTTATAAAAATTATATGTTAAAACTTTTAAGACTTTTGTATAAAAGAAAAACTATATAGGGAAATAAAAGAAATATTTAAATATATGAAAACTATTAAATCTAGAGAATTTGTTAGAAATGCCCCACTTGGGTTACCTCTTTTTAAACATGTCACCTTTTCTATCCATTTTTATGTGTACCCCTCTTAAATTGTTAATTCTCACTTTACCCTAACTTATATTATCCCTCTCTTATCTCAAATCCCTAAAGCATCGTCATCTTCTTCACTTGCCGTCGTCGAGCTTCGCTGTTGTCGAACTTCTCTGTGAGATCTCGTTGTGAATTCGCTTGTGCTCGTCGCTGTGAATTCAGCCGATGTTCGTAGTCTCTGTTTCAGATGAGCTTTCTTTTTGCTGCCAAGAAACAGAGTTGTCGTCATATTTGTCCACTTCTCCGCTCAGCATATGAGACCTAAGCTTGGGGTTTATGAATTACTTTCTTGGTGAGCATTGATCGTTTCTTCTTCTTTGCTTTGTGATGTTTGCATTGACTTTGATAAGGATGCATTTGAAGTATAAATTTATGTTGATATCTAGGAAAGATGGAAGGATTTATTGAGCGCACATAAGTTGTTTGGTAAATTGCTAAAGAGAAAAGCTTATTGTTTTATGTAAATTATTGTTAGCTATTGGATGAGAAGCATATATTAAGTATGATTTTTAGTAGTTGTGGAAAGAGAATTCCGTATGATATGGATTTTAGTAGTTAGTTTAAGATATTTTCCTAAATATGGAAATATTTGTTTGGCCGTAAACACTCAATAACATTATATTAAGATATATTAACGTGTATATTAATATATCTATGTAACGTTATTTAAATAACGTGTGATATTTTCCTAAAATTATGATGAATTTTATGTTAAGATATATTTGAATAATATAAATGGAAATAAAAGATATATTTTAAAATATGAAAATATTTCTAAATTTAATATTTCTTTTTTATAATAAATAAATTATATAAAACATATCAAAATATAAAAATTAAATTTTTGTTAAATAAAAAACGAACATACTTATTTTTATTAGATTTTTAAATTAAAATACTTCAAAATCTAATTTGAATATTGTGTTTAAGTAAATTTCTATTTCTAAAAACTAAAATCGAGTTAGATGATTAAGACAATTATACCTAACAATTCAAATATAGATAGAGAGTCTAGACCTTTACATTAGTATCTTGTTCTATTAGTTTCGTAGTTCTGATGTTTAGTGCAATTCTAACTTTTTTATTTGTTAATATAATAGGAGTATTTTCTATATTGAGATTTTGGATTGAGAAAGTCTTTTAATGAAGTAATTGGAGTTGATGTTAGGTAGATTATGCTAAGATAAAAAACACATTCCGATATCTTTATTAGTTTGCTTTTTGTTTGTTTATTATTACTGATATTTGGTTAGTTAATTTATTTATTTGTGTATGAAATTTAGTATGTGTATTCTGGAAATAGAAAACTAAGTTACGATAGAAAGTAAAAAAGACATCTAATTTCGAGTTTAGGAGTTTAGATAAACGACATTGTTTCGTGTAGTTAATTCATTAATCGTCAAACATAGCAGGTACAAAAAGCTGGCCATAAGGTTGGACAAGACATACCACGAGAAATATGATATAATGAGAAAGATGAAAATCCTTCGCTATCGATTTTTATTTTTTCGAGATAAATAGAAACTTCCTATGTCTACCTTGTTTTCAACGTATTTTCATTTAACACCTAAATTTTTTTAAAATAAAAACATTTTTGTTAAACTTCACAACTTTACTTAAAAATATGAATTATAAGAAACCTTAAAACCTAAGTGTTAAATTTACAATACACGAAAACATGTTGAACTTATACACCACTAGCGGACCACAAAGGGACTGGATGCTCGGTCCGGTTTGTTTTCAACGTATTTAAGTTTAACACTTAGATTTAAACCAAAAAGAACATTTTGGCTTATTAAAAAATAAACTTAAATTGAATTTTGATTTAAAAAACTTGATTTTTAGTCTAAATCAGAAAAAACAGAAATGAAAAACAGAAAATCTTTTTTGTTAATGTATATTTGATTTTTATATCTAAATCAGTTTTTTGAATTATATAAAGTTAGATCAATTGTTCTTAATTTTAAAAAGTTAGATCAATTGTTCTTAATTTATTTTAGAGTTTAAAAAGTTAGAAAAATTAAAATAGTTAGCGTGAGCGTCCGTCAACCTCCCACTCCGACTGCAGGGGAGTGTTAGAATAGATAGGATATGAATATATCCAAATCTTTCTTGTTGTATAGATTCTATGTATTATTTAGAATAGTCCTGTACACACTATATATATTGACATATCAATGATACAAACTCCTCATCGGAGATTACATATAATATTACAATAAGCAGCCTCATATCACGACAGCAGCCTTGGAGAAGAAGACTTGAAGACTTCGAGAGATTCTTCGGACGTCTCTCTTAGCAACCTCTTGTTCGATTCTCTAGATCTCTTTCGTTTCTTGTTACTACTTTTTTTCTAAGGAAGAATATATATCTCTTTACTTGTATTGAGGAATACCTTCTAAACCCTAATTATTTTATAATATATTCTACTTTTATGGTCTTGATTCTCTTCTCTAACGTTGTGATGATTGACTTTAACATGTGTGAGTAGATTTCTTAGTTGGGTTTATGGGGTAATTCGAAGGGCATTCATGGTTCGATCATATTAGGTTGCTATATACAAACTCTTTTATTTCATGGTTCTTTCTCTTGGTTTATTTTAACATGTAATGCGGATTGATTACACCTTGATGCATATGGTATCTTAGATCATATTGTCTGACAAAAACATGATATCATCAGACCTAGCCTAGTAGAGCAACGGACCATCTCTCTCTTGTGTTCACTTACTGCTTGTTCATCTGCTTTAGTTCTTGGTAGTCTCTGCTATTGTAACCAAAATAACAGCAATAGCAGAGACTAACAAGAACTAAAGCAGATGAACAAGCAGTAAGTGATCAAATGACAATATAGAATTCCTGAGGATGAGTGTAATGGACTACTGATTCCTCCTTAATCTATCATGGGTGTCTAACAAAACTCACACAGAGCTAATCCCTAGACAATAGGTTCAACAAGAGATCAATCCACTGTCGTGACAGAGATCCTCAAGCAAAGCTACTTCCAGACCTAACTTTCATTAACCAAGCAAGCACTAAGATTCAACCTATTAAAACCAATAAACACTCTAAACATCCAACACTACACCAAAACGGGTTTTTAGCTACTGCAAAAGCAGTAGGCAAACAGTCGTAAACCTATGTTTTACGACTGATTACCGACCAATAAGTGTTGTAGGTAAAGGTCTAGTCGCAAATAATATCAGTCGCAAAATTGCTACTGATCTACGACTGATCTACGACAGTTCTTTTACAGTCGTTACCCAGTCGGCACTCAGTCGTAATCTTTGGCGACTACATAACGACTGAGTAGCGACTGTATTTTGCTACTAAAATATGTAGTCGTAACTCAGTCGTAATCTTTCGCGACTGTCTAGCGACCGAATAGCGACTGCATTTTGCTACTAAATACCTACTACTTATTTAGTCGTAATATTAGCTACTTATTTACGACGAAAATGTTGCTACTGAATACCTACTACTTGGTTTTTAATTAACCGAATTTCGTTTAGCATTCTAATTTGGTTCCTGATTTTAGTTTAAACAAAAGTACTAATAAAAACAAATTATAGAAATCTTAAAATCCGAAAAACACAACATAAGTTTAAAAGACATGAGTTCAAAATAAAAATTCAAGAGCATACAAACATGAGTTTAAACACAACATAAGTTTAATCTTACCAAAAAAAATACAACATAAGTTTAAAGTTTTATAAAAGCAAGAGAGTTATAAACCTAAACAGGTTCAGCAGGTGGATGATCAGAAGCAGTTTCTGTGGCAAGGAAAGCAAGGAACCTGTCGTCGGTTTTCAAGAACTTGTGGACAATCGCAAGCTCGGCGGTCTGGGCCTTTTGAGCAGCTGCAACTCGAGCATTCTCTGCTTCTTGCTGTGCGATAAGAGCAGCTTGGTCCTTCAGCTTCTGTTCAGCATTTTCAAGCTGTTGTTGCATCTGCCGGAATGAAGCTGAGGTTGCTGTGTTGTGTGCCTTTCCCTTGAGCATACTCTTGAGGCTTCCAATACCAAACAGTGCTCCTCTATCATTTGTGAATGTGGACTAAAAGAAAAATCAAAGCAATGAAAAATCAGGAACAAGCAAGAATATGAATGCCAAACTAAGAAGCATAATGTAAACTATAATGTATACTATAATGTAAACGAAGCTACCTGAATAAAGAGGTCATTATCTTCTTCTACTGTTAGCACAGGAATACGACCATCCGTAAGGTCTGTGATATCGGACTCAAGATCAGTCAACGTCTCTTGTTTTTTCTTCGTATAGGCCTCAGCAACTTGCTGCGCTTTCAGATCAACAAACGTCCCATCTTTCTTGGTATTAGCCTTGATGAACACCTCACCGAAACTCACTGGTCTCCCCAATTCAACAACCTGAAATAGGAAAATGATTAGTTGAATCAGTATTTCAACAAAGAAAGTTAGTGTAAATGTAAATCATTTATAACATGAAACCACAAATCACATATTGAACCAGTAATAAAGTTTAAAGAGACTTACCATTTCTTGTTCAATTTGTCGGTAAGACTTCTGTCCAGAGGCGTGTTTGTGCGGACCGAGACCCTTACGATCAGACATCCGAGCTGCTGAGGTCGTAGCACTCTTTGCTTTTTGTTCTTCAGTGCTCCAATGTTCTTTCATCTCATCCCAGAGCGTATCATAGATCCAGATTGGTCGTACGTCATTACTCCTCGCTGTGCTTACCATATCTTTCATGCGACTTTGGATTATGGACTCGAAGTGCTCTTGAACCAAACCTGTATTAGATGGATCCCATCTATGTTTTTTCTACAAAACAACAGAGAAGTATAAGTGTTAGTCATTTTAAAGAAAATATAAGAAGAAAATGAATTTTGGTGTTACAACAAAGAGATTCTTACCGCGAATTCAACGAAGTATCGTTCTTGTCTTCCTCTAGGCACACAGGACCAACTATAGTATGGGCCATCAAACTTGTTGGTGAAGCACTTAGTAATCTGGCGGGAGAGTGAAGATTTGTCAAAACCAAACCTACAAAGACAGATAAAGATAATGTTGAATGAGAATTACCAAAACAGCTGAAAAGGTAAACTAATAGAAAGAACATATATTACCAAGTTGAATCCGGCACAATGAGGTCGGGATCAAGGAAAGTGATTCCCAGAACATATATTACCAAGTTGAATCCGGCACAATGAGGTCGGGATCAAGGAAAGTGATTCCCTTCGGCCGTGGTGCATCCGAAATATCTTCTTCGGATTCTTCTTCTTCTATTGTAGTGTGTGAATTTTGTGCTTGGGAACTGTGAGGAGATTGACTTGGCTAGAAATGGAAATCTCTAGAATTAGTTGATTCATGCATTTCATCAAACACCTTTTGGGCGTGGAAATGTTGGGTTCTACATACCAAAAGGCGGTGTAAGATTTAGATTTATTATTTTTTACGTTAATAACTACAATAAAAAAGTAAATTTTTTATTTTTGAAGAGTATCGTTATCATATTGATTAACATTTGTAAAACAACCATTTTTCATTGTTAACCATCTTAATATATAAATATAATTTTTTTCCTTTAATAATGGAACAATAACATATGAAGAATTTCTCTATATACCATCATTTTGGTTTTGTTTCCAAAAATACCACAACTACCAAATTATTGTTCAATGGTGTGGAATTTTCAATCCTTAGTTTAGGTTGATTATTTTACATTTAGGGTATAGTATTTAGGGGGTATGGTTTAGTTTTTGGAATTTAGAGATTATTTTTTGAAAATTAAAATTAAATTTTAGTTTTGTGTTATTTTTGTCCAAAAAACAAAAATCATGGTATTTTGGAAAATTGCCCATAACATATCTGTTTTAGATTTTATAACTATATTTGATTTTATCTTTTTAAATATATTAAAATATTAAAGAAGATTTCCCTTTTTTTGACAAAAGAAGATTTCCCTTATGTTAAGTCAGATCAATTATATTGATTAAATTACTGTCACAAGAGTGGTTAGTAAAATGCGATAAGCAACATCAATATTTGGATACCAACCAATATTTTTTACAAACTCAAGAACCTCGATAGGTGTCATTGCTTTATCGGGTAAAGTCACCTGCAATATTCTTAACTCAGAGAAAAAGGCAATTATTTAAAGAGGCCTAATCCTGATGTATCATCTACCTTCAGAAACTCTAAGAAATACTTTTCTTTTCTTATCTTTTCACATGAGATATTCACACACCTTATGATTATACTCATTTGTTCTTGATGACTCACGTCGGGTGTACAATCAAGGATAATAGAAAAATATTTTGCCTCTTTAATAACACTAGTGATAGAAAGCATTACCTTGTAAGCGAGAAGAGAAATCAACTCATTCTGAATGTTATGACCAAGATAATGATGATATATCTCATGACTTTGAATGTGTCGAATATGTTCCTGCATAATCAAATCAAACTCAGCAATCCTCTCAATCATTCCTAAAAAATTACCATTACTATCTTGGTAAAGTTAGCATATGAGCCTCGAAATGCTAAATTTATTTTCGAAAGACATTTCACAACATAAATTATTCTGTATAAAACTTGTCTCCAACGTTCTTTTTCTTTAGCAATTTCTTTCTGGAATTCTTTATCACTAGTTAGATTACTTTGAAATCTAACTTTCAAGTCATTCCATATCCTCATATTAGCCATATGCTGCTCACTTTTCTCATGATTTTTTAGTCTATAATCAATATGTTTCCAGTCTCTTAAACCTTCGTTTGCGAATAAACTTAATTGACCATGAAACTGAAATAACTTACAGCAAATATAATACACCTTATCCTCATGCTTTGAGTAAACCAACCACTTTCTATCATCAGTGATGTAGTTCTTTTACCCGATCAATTAAATTATCGAACCTCAAGGAGCAATTAATTAACACACCAAGAATACACAAATTTGCTTAATCTAAGGTTAATAAGATATTTGATTTGATTTTCTAAACTTGACTAACAATACAATTCAAACTAAATAATGCAAAGCAAGATGAAAGAAAGCAATAATCAAAAGACTAACAAGATTCAAATCGAAACAAAGCGGGAAAAGATAATTACTAAACAATAATTAAAGACAAATTCTCGGGTTAAGGCAATTGACTAGAATGACAAAGAGATGGGTTATGGAGGCTCAAACAACTTCTAACAAAGAATGATCCTTAGGTCATAGAACACTAGGCAAGACTAACACATTTCCATGAGATTAATCTCTTTACTAATCAATCAATTATCAACTTCTTTCAAAGGCAATCAAATGATCAATAAGCATTATAAACAAGTCTATCTAACCAGTAATCACCCTAATCAACAATTTCCAAAGGCTTTTTGAGGTGGCTTTGTTTGTTTGTTTCTTTGGGTGACTAACTCTCAAATGAAAGGAATGCTAGACAATCATGAAATCCATCTAAGACCAAGAACAATTTATGCATACAAAGATTAGCTCTTGTTGTTCTACCCATCTTAGATATAAGATCCTAATCTCTACCCTTTGCAAACCTTTTTCTTTTTCTTTTCAAACCATACCCATTGGACACTTTTGGTCTCTTTTCTTATCAAAATACAACCCTCATGATCAAAACCTTATTATTCATTAGCCACCTAGGGAACCTTTTCTTTAAACACTAAGCTCTTATTTAATCCCACCTTCTTTCTCATCCTTTGCAAAACTTTTCTTTTGGGGACTATCTTACCCAACTCTTTCTTTCTTTTACTTAGATACTAGAGCTTCTTTTCTTATGACTTTAATTCCTAGGGACTCCTTTTAAACTCAATGATCAAGCCTTTCATCTTCAACCTTTTCTTTTTCTTCTTTCTCGCAAACCCAACCCAAATGTACAATCTAACCAACTAACTCTTTCATTCCCTTCCTAATAGCTAGCTCAAAAATTTCCAAATACTAGCTAAAACAAGAGCTAATACCTTCTCGTTCTCGATTCTCTCAAGATTTCACAATCTATAACATTATCAAGAAGAGGCCTCACTCGCAAATCAATTCATGGGATGAAAATAAAGGTTAAGGTTAAGGGTAAGGGGACTTTCGAATCATTCAAGAGAGTGGTGAAAAGTGATATGCTTCGATTAAGAATAATTTACCATGAGAATGCATTCAAAACACATAAGCGAGAGGATTCGATTCAAATTAAGTCCAAATACATAGAGATGCTTCAAAGATCATGTAAGTTTCACACAAGAAGAGATTGCTTTCAAAGAATGCAAAGGTCTAAGAATGAATTTTCATTTCTTTCCAAGATGATCAAGCAACAATGAACTATGATTGAGGGCTTGTATTTTAGTCATAAGATTGAATTTCTACAAGGCATATTAATTATCACTTCCAAAGCTTATGCAAATGCAAGCTATATGCTACTAGACTCAATCTTAGAGATAGAAATGACTATGCAAAACTAAGTGCATTTGTTTTGGATTTTTCAAATTTTGCAAATTTTTTTGATTTTTTTCTCAAAACTAGCTATTCACAATGCAAGACTCAAAGAAAAGAAAAATAAAATAAAACACAACGTTAGATACCTAGTCCCTCCTCCAAACTTAATTCACACCGTCTCGGTGTGATAAAAAAGATAAGGAAGAGACTAACAAAAAAAGAAACTAAAATGAGACTTAAAGCGGTATATACAATGGAAGGTGAGGCCATACCTTGGCCCTAGTTGTGAACCTTAGGGAGGAGAGTGAGAGGAGGAGTGGAACTCCATGGTAGGCTAGTTGGAGGGGTTGAAAGAGTGTGGAGGTGGGAATGGTTGGACCGTGTTCCACCATTGAGGTTGATGGTGATGACCCTTGAGAGGAACTCTTGAAGTCTATCTTGGTCTTTTTGAAGTTCGGGTTGGATTCTTGATTTGACACTTGCAAAAGGAGTAGAAGAACCCTTACACTTCACCTTATACTCAATTTTTCCATCTATTAGCTTCAAAGGATGCAAGCTCATGGTGTTAGAGGAAGGAACAAAGCTGGGAGGGTGGGTTTGTTTCTTCTTCCTCTTGCTGGCTTCAAGGCCTCTTTTAGCTTTACCTAAATACAACTCTTCACCATTGTCTTTAAACTCATCAACTAAAGAGGCTAGACACTCACAATCCAAGATGTTTTCATCAAGCTTTAGGGTCTCTTTATTCCTCACATTAACAACTTTGATATCTTCATGTTGATAAGTCAAGTCTCTAGTCACTTTCTTACTCTTCATATCTTCATGTTGAGAAGCCAAAATAGTGATCTTACCATTAAGAGCATTGTATATCTCATCAATCTTGTTGTGCATATCGACACATCTCTTACCAAAATCCATATAATCCTTAGTTTGGCCTTCTAAAACTTGTTTCAACATGGAATTAAATTCATTATCTTGAGGAGGTGGTTGAATATTAGATTTTCCTTGGTTTGTGAATTAAGGACTTGGTTGAAATCCTTGCTCTTGTTGAACTTGGCATAGTCCCTCTTGTTGTTGTTGCATCTTCAAGAACTTCTCCACATTCTCTAATTTATCTTGCAAATATCTCCACGTCTAACCGTCTTGTGATATCTCTGTAGACGATTTATCACATATCTCATTGCACCTTTGATCACTTTCAGCCAAATTCTCAACAAATAACTCTCCTTGTTCGAAAGCGAGATTTACAAAACATCCTTTGCTAGCCACGTCCAATCTCCATTTTAGCTCATTACTAACTCCCCTATATAAAATACTAAGGATAGCTTCCTTGTTGAATCCATGATGAGGAAAATCTTGAGTATATCCCTTAAGTCTTCCCCATGCTTCATAGAAACTTTCATTGATACCTTGCTCAAAGCCCATTATGTCCTTCCTCACTTTGGCCGTTCTTTGCTTAGAGTAGAACTTTACAAGGAATATCCTCTTACAATCATCCCAAGAGTTGACCAAATGTGAT